CGTGGTCCGCTAGGCGGACGCTGGGGGCCGAGGCCCAGGACGCTCTGCTCCCGCCCGGCGTGTGCGCCTACGGCCTCGGCTCCTCCGCTTTCTCCCTCGCCGCAGCCCGCGCTGCGGACTCAGTGGGGTTTGTCTTCCTTTGGGGGAGTGACGCTGACGAGAGCCATTTCCTCCGCGCTCGCAGGAAGGAGCCATGGCTCTGGACGGGATAAGGATGCCAGATGGCGCCGAGGCCCAGGACGCTCTGCTCCCGCCCGGCGTGTGCGCCTACGGCCTCGGCTCCTCCGCTTTCTCCCTCGCCGCAGCCCGCGCTGCGGACTCAGTGGGGTTTGTCTTCCTTTGGGGGAGTGACGCTGACGAGAGCCATTTCCTCCGCGCTCGCAGGAAGGAGCCATGGCTCTGGACGGGATAAGGATGCCAGATGGCTGCTACGCGGATGGGACGTGGGAACTGAGCGTCCATGTGACGGACCTGAACCGCGATGTCACCCTTAGAGTGACTGGGGAGGTGCACATCGGAGGGGTGATGCTGAAGTTGGTGGAAAAACTCGGTGAGTAGCATCCCAGCCGCTTCTAAAAAGGACTTCCCAGAATGGGAGGGGGGTGGGGAGCAAAGACGGAGGGGGGAGGGGTTGATTTTGGAAATCCTAGCACCCCCACAAGGGCTGCTTTTGAGATGTGAAATCTGTCAATATTAGGACACGTAGACCTGGCCTCCTTTGCGACTTGTTTGGTCACTTTGAATCAACGTAAGATAGATTCCTAGACTTCATTGCCGATTCCTGGGAGGCTGGGAACTCCTTGATTCTTTAGGGGTGCAGACTTCTCTTTGAAAACACCAGGGGAAATATGTAGGTGAAAGTTGTGAGATGGTGTTACAGGGACTGGAATAGCATTTCTTACTCTCATTGTGCCTGGGTGTTGATGGCGGTGGTTATCGAGGGCGACGTGCGGTCAGTCTACTTAAGAAAACTACTAGGGAATGTGCAACTACTGGCGTCGGTACGAAGTTTCTGTAGCTGAGCTACTACGTGATGTAGTACTTCCAAATGTTCCAGTCATTCGCTCTTACAAGGGGTGGGGCAGTGTTTGACAAACTTGGTATCTCTGTTCCGTGCTGGAAGTAAGCTATTTCAAGCATTTGGTTTTATATTTAATAACAAGGCAGTCAAAGAACTTTGTGTTAAAAGCAGCCTTTATTAAACTAATTTGAGATTGACGATATTTGCCTGAGTCCACATCCACATCCATGCTGGATTGCGTCTGACTAGATTTTAAGTGGTGAGCTATCTTAGAAAAAGACATTTGAGAAAACTTTGCATTATACACTTTGATAAATCAAACCATTTTCAGCTGGAAGAATCCATTGACAGGATGAGATAGGTGATTTTATAAGAAAAATTGTCTGAGGACTGCCCTCTTGGGCCCTAAAGTGCTTGATTCTGCATATAATGCAGTTGTGATAAGATGTTTTGTGTAGCCTTTTTAGTAGTAGTCTTTTTAGTCTGGGTTGGTTGGTTTTAAACAGAATTCATTCTTGCAGCTGTCCCAGAGAAGTAAGGAATGGTTATTTATCAAATGTGTTTATCAAGGGGGAGGGGACTGTCTTTACCATATAAACTTAAGTGAAATAGCAGCCTCATACAATTTGGAAAATAAGGTTGAATTCATATAGGTGGCTCTGCCCTATGCCCCTGCAGGAAATTTAATTACTGAAAGACCAAAGAGAGACTCCTCACAGGGTGGCCTTCTCCTTAGGACTGTCTATTGTTTGACTCCCTGCAGGCATAGCCCAAGAAAGAGAGGCCCTAGGAGCCCTTTGAAAATTAGATTTTGCTGGTTTAACCAAGCAATTGACAGTTAACCGTTTTTGATTCAAGTAAACCAATCACTGTTTGCAAAATATTGACCCAGTTTTGTTTTTTTTTTTGTTTTTTTTTTTCTGGTCGGGCACCTGTGAGGTTACTTAAGGATGAAGAATATCAAATAGGGTTGCTTATATTCTTATTTTCCAAGGAAACAAGCATTTGTATCAGATTGCCTTATGTGTGCAAAATACATTCTATTAATACATTGTAGTTTTTTTATGTTGCAGTAAAAGCTGTTGAAGGTGACTGAGGCAACTTGTAATTCTCAAAAGCCAGGCTTTAATGAATAAATAATGATTTCTACTATATTTGTATCACATTGATTATAACTGCTATGAAATCACAGTCATAAATGGAAATGTAGAGGGTAAATTGTTTGCAGACAGAATTGATGTTAATTTCAAGTAACTATAATCTTAGTCATTTAAAGCTGGTGGCTGTCTAATTGTCTGTGCAGTGAAAACAAGCCTGAAGGGGTAGGAAGGGCTTGCACCTGGAAACTTTGTATCTTTAGTTGAAAATTCTGAGCCTTCTTGTGTTTTAAGTTCCAAGTAGGAAGCATTTTTCAACATATTTCAGATTTTCCTGTTATAAAAGTAGAGCTCAATGATTTTTGTTTTCGGGTTTTTGGATTACCTATTTTGAATGATAAGCTGTTTCATTAACTTTTGGAAAGTACACAGAGGAGAAATGAGTAGGGCAACATTTAAAAGGTTCACAAATCAGGTTAGGCACATGAGAAAAGAATCTAGTAGTTTTTCAGGTTTGCCTAAAACTGGAAGGGGTTAACTGCTAAAGCCCTGAGCTGTGTTGTCACTAAAGATATTAAAGGGCAGACTTGATGGCTACTTGTCAACAGTGGCTAAGGGAGATCAAAGCAGCTTGCAGAGTCTAGATAAGAGGTAGAGGTCGTTGTAGAGATGAGATGGCACAGAGTCTGGTGTTTCCGGATTCCAGATTCGTAATGGGCCTGTAGCAGAATCAGGCCACTGTGGCCATGGAGCAGTTAATGACAGGGTCTGACAGGCAGCATTAACCTGTATCTTCAGACTCCCAATGCCTGTCTGATACCCTTTTCAATTTCATTGCAGGATAGATGATTGCCAGGGGGTTATAGTTTAAGGCTGTCTTCCTATACAGTGTTCATGGCAGCCCTTGATTCTCTGGAGCTGAGAGATCCCAGGATGAAATTCCCTTCAGCAAAATGTAAAGATTTTGTATGCACACATGGAAGCTCTGGGAAGAGGTTACTTTGCTGTCTTCAGATCCACAAAGATGCATATGAGCAAAAAAAGTTTATGAAACAACCATGTAGTTTAGCCCTTGAGTATTGGATTTATTGTGAAGTGACTGTGTTCATCCTAGAATAGAGCATTTTAATTAAACAAGATGAAAGCATAGTGAGACAGTGATACCTTTGTATTTGATTGGAATTTTATAAAGAACATTGCATTTCGGGTAAAGTTATTAAAACAGGATTCTTAGATTTGTTACTGAAATGTTATCTGAAATGTCTCTTAAATCTTAGTGTAAAATACATTGGTCATTCAGCATTAGCCTTTTAAAAAAGATAGAGTAGATGCTATGAATATGGTGTGGACTTTAAGGGATTTATATCCTGATAGGACAGAAACTTCATCTGTGACCCAGTCTAGGTTGATCCTAGACAATCTCATTATTGCACACACCTTAATGTGTATGAAAATTTGTTTTTTCATTTCTTTTTAAAATTCAGATTGAAAGCTTTAAAATAGAGACTTTAAAATATTACAGGGTTTTTTGTTAAAAATAAAAATTTAAAGGTGCATATTTTTAAATATTTTCATTGTACATAGCACTTGTGTCACATAAGGATGTTTTCATACAAGTAGATCATGTGTTGAATGTGTTGTTGGTTTAAGACAAGATCTCATTGTGTAGCTCAGGCTGGCCTGGCACCATGTAGCCTGTTGACTACTAGAATTCCAGGCATACACTGCTATGCTTGGCGTGGGTAGTCTGTCTGTCTTTTTCTTTTTTCTTTTATTTTATGTGTGTATGACTATTTGGCCTGCATACCTATATGAAAGCACACCAGTACACCATAGCATGCAGTGCCAGTGGAGTCCAGAAGAGGGAGTCAGATCCCCTGGAGCTGGGGGGTTATGGACAGTTGTTAGCCTCCGTGTGGATGCTAGGAACTGAACCTGCAGTACTCTTAACCTAACTTAGCCATCTCTCCAACCTTGTGTGGTCTTTTTGTTTTCTTCAAAGAAAAAGTTAAATATGTTAAGGATAAGGACTGTAAAATAAGACACACACCCTCCAGAAAAGGGAGGGGAGAATAAAATTGTAAAGTAATTATGTCTACACCAACTTTGAAATGGTCTGGGGATCATTGGGAAGCATTAAAGAGTTATGCCAGTGAGGCGCAGCACTCAGTTCAGCACAGACCGTTCTGAGTGCCAGTGAGGTACTTAACTGATCTTTTATTGTTTCTGTGGGGCTTTGGGGTCGGGGGAGGGACTCTGAGCTAACTTTAGCCTGAGATGAGTTTTTGTTCTCATAGAGTTTTAGAGTCACTTTACAAATCTTTTTCAAACTTCTACTTACAATTAAATTTTTGTCTTTTTTAAAACATTTTTATTTCTTTTCTTTTTTTTATGTGTACGAGTGTATTGCCTGCATGTATGTGAGTGCACCCATGTCGTGCACTGCCGCGGAGGTCAGAAGAGGGCTTCGGATTCCCCTAGAACTGGAGTTAAGGACGGCTTGTGGCTGCCATGTGGGTGCTGGGAATTGAACCTGGGTCCTCTGCAACAGCAGTCAGTGCTCTTAACTGTTGAGCCATCTCTCCAGCCCCTAAAATTTTATCTTTCTATAAAAATTTATTTTTGATAAAGAACAGGGAATGCTAGTGGTATGGAATTCACTGAACAGAAGTCTCAAGCAACTGGTTCTGTGTGCTTGGAGGGGAAACTGATGCATTTCTTCCAGCTTAGCCTCTGTAGAGGAACACTGAGGAGGAGTTAAATAAGGTTGGATGATATAGACCCAAAATGCAAGTTGGGGGATTCCAGGGTAACCATGGAGAAATGAATGGACTTGATGTAACAGTTTTTTGGGTTGGGTGCACATGAACACACCTTTAGTCCCAGCACTTGGGAGGCAGAGGCAGCCAGATCTCTGGAAGATGGAGGCCAGTCTGCTCTACATAATGAGTTCCAGGCCAGCTGGGGCTATAGACCTTGTTGGAAAAAGACCAAAAAAAAAAGATCGAAGATTGTTTCTGAGTATAGCCTTTAGGATGTAGTTAATTCCTACTTTAAAGTATGTCCTGTTCTTATCCTATAATAACAGAATAAAATGCACTTATGTTGGTATCCAATTAGATTGTAACATGCATGACCTAAGCGAAAAATAGATTTTAGTAAAATTATTTAAAAATCCCTCAAGGTGGACAGCTCCCTTCCCACCCTCCTCAACACTCCCCAAGGAGGACTCTACTTAGGAGAATGGTGTTAACACTGGAAACATCTGATTTCCCCTTTGAAGGCTGATGAGTGATTTCATGGACATTAAATGTCTACATAATACAGCCTCACTGCATTCCTGGTATAGTATATTAGGTTATAAGACTTTTTAAATCTTTGGGGCTGGGGTGGAAGAAATAGTATTGAAATCATAGTGAATCAAGTCTTAGT